GCAGCAGCAGCAGCAGCAGCAGCAGCAGCAGCAGCAGCAGCAGCAGCAGAGTTGAACTTGACAGACGCAGCAGCAGCAGCAGCAGCAGCAGCAGAGTTCCAAGAGCAGGGCCAGCAGAGGCTAGAATGCAGAAATTGCTGCTGCTGCTGCTGCTGCTGCTGCTGCTGCTGCTGCATCAGCAGCAGCAGCTAGAGTGGCAGCAGACTCATATTAGACTGAGAAGCAGTGTTAAGAAGTAAACAATGCAGCAGCAGCAGCAGCAGCAGCAACTAGTGCAGCGGCAGCAGCAGCAGCAGCAGCAAGTGCGGCAGCTCCTTTTGCTGCTGCTGCAGCAGCGGCTGCGTCAGTCGACACGTGAACTACGGCAGAACAGGCTCAAACCCTAAACCCTAAACCCTAAACCCTAAACCCTAAACCCTTGAATTGGCCTTACGTCTCTGGCGACGAAGTTTTCGACATTTGAGCTGTCAATAGGCAGCAGGCCTAGCCTGCAGCAAGTCGCAAACCCTAAACCCTAAACCCTAAACCCTAAACCCTAAACCCTAAACCCTCAGCGCAGCCAGGTGACATATTTGGGAAGCACAAGACAAGACTGGAGTCTGAGGGCCAAAATACTAAATCTGCCCTCCGAAGTCCACGAGCTAGGGTTTAGGGTTTAGGGTTTAGGGTTTAGGGTTTAGGGTTTAGGGTTTAGGGTTTACCTGTGGACGATGTACTCATCGTGCAAGACACTCGTGTTTTCAAAGACCGTCACCAAATCAATTGCCAAAGTAGGCACCTCCGATATCTGCAGCAAACCCTAAACCCTAAACCCTAAACCCTAAACCCTAAACCCTAAGCCCTAAACCCTGAACCCTAAACCCTAAACCCTAAACCCCGATAAATGCATCGAAGTTCCAATTCTGCATTTCTGCCGCTACGCACCAACCCCAATATCTAAACGCGCGCTAACTTCCCAAACCCTAAACCCTAAACCCCAAACCCCCCCTAAACCCCAAACCCCAAACCCTAAACCCTAAACCCTAAACCCTAAACCCTAAACCCTAAACCCTAAACCCTAAACCCTACCATCACTCTTCTCAGTGCGTTGGCAATGGACGCGTCGCAGTTGCTGAGGGTGAACCGAACCACTTTATTAGAGAGTTCTGTGACTCTTATTGCTGCTTGCATTAGCTGCTGCTGCTGCTGCTGCAGCTGCGGCTGCTGCTGCAGCCGCTGCAGCGCAGCAGCAGGGCCCCCAAGGGACCCCCCTATGGAGCTGCTGTAGTCGGCTAGATGACTCATTGCTGCTGCTGCTGCTGCTGCATATCTTGCTGCTGCTGCTGCTGCTGCTGCAGTTGAGGCTGCAGGTCTTGCTGCAGTCTCTGCTGCTGCTGTTGCTGCTGTTCCGGATACTGCTGCTGCCGCTGCTGCTGCTGCTGCTGCTGCCGCCGCAGCTGTTGCTGCAGCAAAAAGGGCTCCTGGAAGCCCTGCTGCTGCAGCAGCTGCTGCTGCTTCTTGCTGCCTGTGTTCAGAGAACCGGCAGCAGCAGCAGCAGCAGCAGCAGCAGCCGCAGCAGCAGCAGCAGCTGTTTTGGAAGTAGCTGCAGCAGCTGCTGCTGCTACTAGATCGGAGCTGAAAGGGTAGAGGGACTGATCTGCTGCTGTTGTTATGGTTTAGGGTTTAGGGTTTAGGGTTTAGGGTTTAGTCTGAGGCAGACGAACCCCCCAGGCCCTTGCCTTGGGCCCTCGGGATTCGCTGGGGGCCCCGGTGGAGGCGGCTAGGGTTTAGGGTTTAGGGTTTAGGGTTTAGGACTTCGGGGTTCCGCAACAAAGTTTAAAGTCTAAGGTTTAGGGTCAAGGGTTTAGGGTTTAGGGTTTTGAGTTAGGGTTTTATAACCCCCACGCCGCCGCGGGCTTCCTAGGAGGGCCGACGCATGCACAGCTCGATCTGCTGCTGCTGCTGCTGCTGCTGCTGCTGTTGCTGCTGCTGCTTGAGTGGAGCAGCAGCAGCTGCTGCAGTTGCTAGAAAAGTAAAAAGCAAATTAGGAGTCTCAGGTGTATAGACAGCTCGTGCTGAGTCCCTTTCATCGTCTGAGCCGACACAGGTGAGGTGGACAGACACCGCAGCAGCAGCAGCAGCAACAGCAGCAGCAGCAGCAGCAGCTGCTGCTGCTGCTGCTGCACAATGTGCTGCTGCTGCTGCTCTCTATCGGTTGGAAGAAACTTCGCTGTGCTGCTGGCAGCAGCAGCAGCAGCAGTGCACGCAAGCTGCTGCTTCCACGACTCTCAGCAGCAGCTGCTGCAGCAACAGCAGTAGCAACAGCAGCAGCAACAGCAGCAGCAACAGCAGCAGCAACAGCAGCAGCAGCAGCCTGATTCCTAGCGGCGCTGGGCAGTGCCGCCCCCAGATGAGGAGCTGATTTACCCCGTTGTCTCTGCTGCTGCTGCTGCCCCTGCTGCTGCGTCTGCTGCTGCCTTTGCTGCTGCTGCTGCTGCTGCTGCTGCTGCTGCTGCTGCTGCTGCTGCAGTTCCTCCGCTCTAAGATGGCGACGCCGAACGGCACAGCGGAGGGGTGCGTGTGTCTCCCTTTTAATATTTTTAATTTTTAATTTTTTTTATTTTTCTTTTTTTTCTTTTTTTTTCTTTTTTTGGTCTTTTTGTCTCCTTTTTTCTCCAGTTTTGTCTCCCCAGTTGTCTCTTTAACTGTCTCTTCAGCTGTCTCCTCAGCTGTCTCCTTTTTGTCCTTTTTTTGGACTTTTTTTGGACTTTTTTGGACTTTTTTTGGACTTTTTTTGGACTTTTTTGGACTTTTTATTTTTTTGTTTTTGTCTCCTTTTGTCTCCTTGCAGAGCTGCTGCAGACCCCAGCGAAATCGAGGCCAAATATCCTTGCTGCGAGATTGCCCTTTGGTGGTGACTTTTGCTGCTGCTGCTGCTGCTGCTGCTGCTGCTGCTGCTGCTGCTGCTGCTGGAGCTCCTGCTGCAGCAGCTGCAGCAGCAGCAGCTGCTGCGGTTGCCGCAGCTTCTGTGGTTTTGCTGCTTCTGTTATTCTTTCTGCAGCTGCTGCAGTTGTTTTGCTGCTGCTGCTGCTGCTTTGGTGCTGCAGCTGCAGTTTTGCTGCTGCTGCTGCTGCTGCTGCTGCTGCTGCTTTGTTAACTGCTGCTATCAGCTTCTGCTGCATTTCCCTTTATGGCGTGTTGCTGCTGCACTTTTGCTGCTGCTGCTGTCTTGCTGCTGCATCTTTTCGTGCCCTCTTGCTTCTGCTTCTGTTTTGCTGCTGCTGCTACTGCCTTGCTGCTGCTGCTATTGCTTTGCTGCTGCTGCTATTGCTTTGCTGCTGCTGCCATTGGCTTGCTGCCGGCATTGCTGCTGTTTTGCTGCTGCTGCTGCTGCCAGCTGTGTTGCAGCAGCAGATTCGCTTCAGCCCTTGCTGCTGCAGCAGCCGAACGTACCTCCACGTCCATTTGCTGCTGCTGCTGCTGCTGCTGCTGCTGCTGCTGCTGCAGGCATGAGCTGCAGCTGCCGGAGAGAGACACCACCCCAGAGCGGCGCGCAGAGGCTAAGGAGAAGCTGCTGCAGCAAATCGAGAAGAATGGTAAACCCTAAACCCTAAACCCTAAACCCTAGCTGCTTCTGGTGTGCTCCTGTGGAGGGTTTCAGCTAGGGTTTAGGGTTTAGGGCTTAGGGTTTAGGGTTTGTGTGCCTTTTGCAGCGATGGCGCCGCTCTACCGCAAAGCAATTGAAGAATTCGGCTGGCCCCCTCAAGAGGAGAAAATAAAGGCGAGGGTTTAGGGTTTAGGGTTTAGGGTTTAGGGTTTAGGGTTTAGGGTTTGGAGGGCTTTCTCCCCGCAGTCCCCCTCAGGAAAAAACCCAAAAGCAAACGCACGAACTAACCAAACACTTATCCTTTATTAATTTATTATTATTATTATTTATTTATTTATTATTTATTTATTTATTTATTATTTATTTATTTATTTATTTATTTATTTATTTGTTTGACTTGCTGCAGGCCATGGAGGCGCAGCACGAGCAGCAGCTGCTGCTGCTGCAGCAGCAACTCAAAGACGCGGAGGAAAACTACGGAGACACCGAAGTCCGCGAAGTGCTGCTGCAGCGGGCCCACTTGTTCTGCAGAATCGGAGACATAGTAGGAGACACTTTTGTCTCTTTTTTTTCTTTTTTTTTCTTTTTTTTTTCTTTTTTTTGCTTTTTTTTGGTTTTTTTTTGCTTTTTTTGTCTCTTTTTGCGGCAATTTTTGTCTCCTTTTCCGCGCTTTTGGGGTCTCCTTTTTGTCGCTCTTTTGGGGCCGCTTTTTGGCTTTTTTTGGGCGCTTTTTTGCTCCTTTTTTGCGCTTTTGGTGCTTCTTTTGGGTCTCTTTTTGTCTCCTTTTTCGGCTCTTTCGGTCTCCTTTTTCGGCTCTTTTTGTCTCTCTTTTTGGATCTTTTTTGTCTCTTTTTTGCATCTCTTTTGTCTCTTTTTTGGATCTCTTTTGTCTCTTTTTTGGATCTCTTTTGTCTATTCTTTTGATTGTCTTTGTCTCTTTTTGGATCTTTTTTTGGCCCTTTTTTGGCTCCTTTTGTCTCCTTCTGTGTCTGTCTTTTTGTCTCTCTCTTTGTCTCTCTTTTTTGTCTCTTTTTTGTCTCTTTTTTGTCTCTTTTTTGTCTCTTTTTTGTTTCTTTTTTGTCTCTTTTTTGTCTCTTTTTTGTTTCTTTTTTGTCTCTTTTTTGTCTCTTTTTTGTCTCTTTTTTGTTTCTTTTTGTCTTTTTTTTTCTCCTTTCTGGATCTGTTTGTCCTTTCTTTTGTCTCGTTTTGTGTCTCCCTTTTTGTCTCTTCTTTTTCTTCTTTTTTGTCCCTTTTTTATTTCTTTTTATTTCTTTTTTTTGTTCTTTTTTTCATTCTTTTTTGTCCTTTTTGTCTCCTTTTGTCCCTGTGTTTTGTTCTTTTTCTTTCTTTTTTCGAATTTTAAATGTCTTCAAAACTCTTTTTAATGAATTCCATTTTCTTCCATTTTCCTTTTGTGTCTCTGCTGCTGCTGCTGCAGCAGCAGCAGCAAAGCCTCTCCTGCTGCTGCCTGTGGGGCCCCACAGTGTCTGCTGCAGCAGCAGCAGCAGCAAAGCCTCTCCTGCTGCTGCCTGTGGGGCCCCACAGTGTCTGCTGCTGCAGCAGCAGCAAAGTGTCTCCCGCTGCTGCCTGTGGGGCCCCACAGCGCCCGCTGCTGCTGCTGCGGGGCCCCACAGTGCCTGCTGCTGCTGCTGTGGGGCCCCACAGTGTCTCTTTTTGCGTTTTTTTGTGCATTTACCATTTAAATGTTTGGTTTTTTTTGGAGAATTGAAGAGAGAATGAATTGTTTTATTTATTTGTTTTTTTATTTCTTCATTTGCCTTTTTATTTATTTCTTTTTGGCCTTTTTGCTGCAGCCCCGCGCCGTGGAGGCCTACAGAGTGGCCTACGCAAAGACTGTTGGGATCGGATCCCGGCTGGACTTGATTTTGACTTTGCTGCGAACTGGAATTGTCTACAAAGACAGAGACCTCGTCAAGAAGCAACTTTTCCTCGCCAAGCAGTTCGTCTGCTGCTGCTGCTGCTGCTGCTGCTGCTGCTGCTGCTGCTGCTGCTGCTGCTGCTGCTGCTGCTGCTGCTGCTGCTGCTGCTCACGGCAGACGTGGAGGTTTTCTGCTGCTGCTGCTGCATCTGCTGCTGCTGCTGCTGCTGTCTTCTTTGAGGACAGCAGGCGCAGCATGGCTGCTGCAAGTTGAACGTAATCCAACTAATTGTCATTATTTTTATTTTTATTTATTTATTTATTAATTTATTTTTATTTATTTATTTATTTATTTTATTTATTTATTTATTTATTTATTTATTTATTTATTTATTTATTTTGATTGCAGAGAAATGGAAAAGGGAGGGGACTGGGAGCGACGCAACAAATTGAAAGTCATCGAGGCCCTGGACTTCATTCTTTCCAGAAACTTCACTGAGGGTCTGCTAAACCCTAAACCCTAAACCCTAAACCCTAACAAACCCTAAACCCTAGTGAACCCTAAACCCTAGGAAACCCTAAACCCTAGTAAACCCTAAACCCTAACGCTGCGGTGGTCCTGGAGCTTCGGCCTAAACCCTAGCCCCACACGCTGCTCGCAAGTCCTAGCCAGAAACCCTAATTCTAAACCCTAGCTCTAAACCCTAATCATAAGCCCTAAACCCTAGCTCAACTCCTGGGCCCTCATCCAAAGCCCTTATCCAAAACCCTAATCAGCCTCTTTATTGTTTAGTACTTTTATTTATTTTTTTGTTTTTCCTTATTACTATTATATCTCTTTTAGGGTTTGATAGGCGTTGACTGTTGTTCTTTGTCCAGGGTTTAGGGTTTAGGGTTTAGGGTTTAGGGTTTAGGGTTTGAGTATGGGCTGTCCATATGTTTATAACTATTGTTAGTTCATTCTTCACTTACTTCCACGATTTGTTTTGAATTCTTTTTTATGATTAGTTGCTTTTTGTTAATTGTTTATTCTATGAATTGTTCGCCTTTGGAATCGAGGGTTTAGGGTTTAGGGTTTAGGGTTTAGGGTTTGGGGTTTTGTGCTGCAGCGTCGAAACTGCTGCTGGAGGTGCTGGCGACTTTCCCTTCTTGCGGAATTATTTCTTTTGAAACTTTTGTTTTTTATGCTGCTTTGCTTGCGCTGCTTTGCTGCGACAGACAAACCCTAAAAGAGCAGGTTTGCTGCTGCTGCTGCTGCTGCTGCTGCTGCTGCTGCTGCTGCTGCTGCTGCTGTTGCTGCTGATGGCGGCGTCGAGGCTTCGCTGCGGCTGCTGCAGTTCATCTGCTGCTGCTGCTGCTGTTGCTGCTGATGGCGGCGACGAGGCTTTGCTGCTGCTGCGGCTGCTGCAGGTCATCTGCTGCTGCTGCTGCTGCTGCTGCTGATGGCAGTGACGAGGCTTTGCTGCTGCTGCGGTGACGAGGCCTCGCTGCTGCTGCTGCTGCTGCCGCTGCTGCTGCTGGCGGCGACAGAGCTGCTCTGCTGCTGCGGAGATGAAGCTTGCTGCTGCTGCTGCTGCTGCTGCTGCTGCTGCTGCTGCTGCAGGTGGTTTTCTCTCCAACGATTGCTGAGGGCGCTGACAGTGACATGAAAGGTCTTCTGGATTCTTTCTACAACGCCAAGTACCGCGAGTTCATGCAGTACCTAGGTAGGGTTTAGGGTTTAGGGTTTAGGGTTTAGGGTTTAGGCTTTGGGGTTTAGGGCCTAGAATATTGCTTTTAGTGTTTAGTTTTCGGAGATTGTTTGGCCTTAGCGTTTAGGGTTTAGCGTTTAGAGTTCAGGGTTTAGGGTTTAGGGTTTAGGGTTTAGGGTTTAGGGTTTGGCTCGCAGTGCCCGTGGCGAAGCGCGTCAAACGCGACTTGTACCTTTCTCCTCACTATTTGTTTTTTATTCGATCTATTCGACTAAAGGCTTATGAGCGTTGGAGGAGGCGTAGAAGCGCGGGACTTGGGCGAGGGTTTAGGGTTTAGGGTTTAC